CATTTTTCTCTCTCACGCTGCTTTTCTTAAATTACAGCACTAAAATGAGAGCAGATTCTCAGGTTCTGGAAGGAAGATGTGCTCAGTCTCACACTGCTTCCAGTCCCAGGTACCTACCTCACCGGCTTTAATGTGCTCACTCTGCCAGTCTTCTCGGACCTTCTCTAGCATGTTGATGTGCAGCATGTATGCTTTGTCTGCAATGGGCAGGGGCTTGATTTAGAAACAAGACAGGCTTGCTGGATTGTAGCTGTTCCTTTCTGATGCCCGTTAATCCTACATATTCTTAATAATGTAAACAGCCCCCAACCACTACCACCCCCGTCAGAGCACCTTGCCCCTCACCTGAATCTTCTACTGCAGTCTTTGAAGTTGCCAGTTTCACAAAAAGCTGTGAGGACCAAAACCAGAGAGAGATTAGGAAAGCCTATCCCACGGGCAAACACTTGTGAAAGCAATAGTGCTGGAAAAGCAAGATCTGGTCCAAGCCCTACATACACTGCACTTAGAAGCAGATCAATCTTTCATCTTCTCAGCATCAGAAAACAACAATCCTATGTCTTCCTACAGACACATCTCCTTGCCCTCAAGCTGTGGATAATACTATATTCAGATGATACATTATTAATTTGTTTTATAGTTTTTGTGTGTAGGAGTGTTTTGCTTGCATGTATGTCTGTGTACCACCTTGTGCCTGGCACCCAAAGAGATCAGAAGTGTTGTATACCCTGGGACTGGAGTTAAAGATGGTTGTGAGTGGCCATGTGGATTCTGGGAATCTTAACTCAGATTTCCTGGAAGAGCAGTCAGTGCTCTTAACTGCTGAGCCATTGTTCCAGACATATTACTAAATGTATTATTTAATTTACTAATATTATTATTTCAGCCCATATTATTAAATGTAGAACCCTCACCCACAAGAAGTATTCTGTCAACAAAGAATACATGAGCTGAGGTTTGAAGACATTTAAAAAGAATATGAAGCCAGGTGGTGATGCACACACCTTTAATCCCAGCACTTGGGAGGCAGAGACAGGCAGATCTCTGAGTTTGAGGCCAGCCTGGTGTACAAAGCAAGTTCTAGACAGGCTCCAAAGCTAACAGAGAAAAATCCTGTCTCAAAAGAACCAAAAAAAAAATCAAGCCTCCCATTCCACCCACTGTTCTCCAATGTGTGCTTCTCTGGTACTTTCAGTCAAGACGGGGCTGATGAAACCTATAGATACAGCTGACATGAACAAGGGGGAGCGCATGGACCCCAGACTGATATCTGGGAGGCCAGCACAGGACTGATCCAGACCCCTGAAGGTGGATGTCAGTGAGGAGGCCTCTGCACTCTATGGGGCCTCTGGTAGTAGATCAGTATTTAGCCTTGGTGTAAGAAAGGATTTGGGAGCCCATTCCATGTGGAGGGATGCTCTCTCAGCCTAGACACATGGGGGAGGGCCTAGGCCCTGCCCGGGATGATACCACAGACCTTGGGGATCCCCCATGGAGAGCCTTACCCTCCCTGGGGAGCAGAGAGGAGATGAGGTAGGGGGTTGGAAGGGGAGAAGGGGAGGGAGATGGAGGAGGGATTGACATGTGAAGCAGGCTTGTTTCTAATTTGAACTAATAAAATAATTTCCTGGGGAAAAAAAGTGTTACAAGGACTTTTGGTTTTACTCTGAAGTTTACAAGCCAAAAACATTGTTGCCAGAGACTTGGGATAGAAATCTCTTTTTATTTTTTGAGATGGGATTTCACTCTGTAGCCCAGTCTGGCATTAACCTCGTGACCCTCCTGCCTCAACCTCCTGAGTCCTAGAGCGACATGCATGTGCATCATACCAAACCCTAAGTTGGCTTTAAACTGACACAGGTGCATCTCTGACTCTTCAGGTTGTAGACCATGCTAGGTACCTTTTCTTGCTGCCTTGGGTTGGCCACGTTGGCACTGCGATGGATAGCCTGCTCCGCCTCATCCTTGTCCCGGCACTTCTGTTCATAATTCTTCTTGGCCTTTGTTTACAAACAGAGGGTGAATATGGGTGAGCAGGGTAAGAAATGGGACTTGAAGTGTATATAACTAATTTTTCTGATTTTTCCTTGTTCTTGAAATTTTCATACAATTATACACAGCAATATGATTGTATGCACCCCCATGTATATAACATCTAAGATGTGTAATCCAACATCTGTGTGACATTTATAATCCTTAGAGTCTATGCAATCACTCAGTCACTGGAACCAACTTCCTCTCCTTCTCAACAGGCATCAGTATTCTAGAGTTCCCAGCCACTGCCATGCACAGCAAGGGGCACAGCAATGCTATGTCTCTTCCACTTTGGTCATGTTTCTTTTTAAAGACTTCAGTTCAACATAGGTTAAAGAATTCTGCACTGAAACCAACTGGCCCTGGGCTTCTTTTTTGGTTGGGAGACTTTTGATGATTGCTTATATTTCATTAGGGGTTATAGATCTATTTAAATTGCTTATTTGTTCTTGATTTAATTTTAGTAAGTAATACCTATCCAGAAAATTGTCCATTTCCTTTAAATTTTCCAATTTTGTGGAGTACAGGTTTTCAAAGTATGACCTGATGATTCTCTGTATTTCCTCTGTGTCTATTGTTAAGTCCCCCTTTTCATTTCTGATTTTGTTAATCTGCATATTCTCTCTCTGCCTTTTGGTTAGTTTGGATAGAGGTTTGTCTATCTTGTTGATTTTCTCGGAAACCAACTTTGTTTCATTGATTCTTTGTATTGTTTTCTTTGTTTCTACTTTATTGATTTTAGCCCTCAATTTGATTATTTCCTGGTGTCAGTTTAAAGTAGCCAATGGCCTATCTAACACCACTACTACTACCAGGATTATAGAATCATTTCACAAACTCTAACAATTGTTAAATCAAGAAAATTAGTTTGTTTCAGGTCTAGAAACAAAGCCTTAGCTTGTTTAAACAACACAAAACAAAGCTATGGATCAAACAATTAACAAATAAGTCAATATGATAGTTATACTTGACTAAGAATGAAGATGTCCTTTCTTGGCTAGAGAGATGGCTCAGACACCAAAGGCTTAGCTCACAACCAAAAATACAACTTATTTCTTGGTTTATTTCTCTTCAGCTGCCTGTGAAACAGAGATCAAGTGTTGGAACCAGACTGCAGAGGTTCAAATCCGGCCTCACCAATATCTGTGTACTTGTTTTGTTTTTAATAAATTCATCTCTGTGTTTTTGTTTCCCCATCTATAAACCAAGGATTCTTATGTCCAAAGGTACATGAAGACAAAATAAGACACAAAATGTACTTTTATAGTTCTTACATGTGGACATGTGAAATTGAGCCCACAGAAGCAGTTTCATTCAATTGGAGATGATCTCCAAAGGACAGTGGCTTCTTTGGAGAGGTGGTTTGTGTTTATTATTATACACACTTCCCTATATTTCTCATAAGTAAGTTTCCATAATTCAACTGTGGTTATTCTTTCATGAGCTTTCTCTATATGTTGTCTGTTATGTTATATTAGCTATATACTCTATAATTACATAGCATGTAAAATTTTATTATAGAAATAGTATGTTCCTGGTTTTCATAATTATATGAAAATGCATAATAATCATGTAAAAAGACCTGTATAATAATTCCTTTTATGCAACACCTTGGAGATCTCTCTCTCTACCAAACACACTCACCATCCCTCCACCCTGCCTTGAGGTACTGAGAATGGATCCTAAGGCTCTGAACTCTAGGGAAGAACTTTGCTCCTGGCTATATCTAAGCCCTTGGTTTTCTGAGTCAGGGTCTCATTATGTTGTTCAGGCTGGCTTTTGACTTGCTATGTAACCCAGGCTGGCCTCAAACTCATGATCCTCCTGCCTCAGACACCCAAGTGTTGGGATTGTCTATATGTACCACCACCCTGCTATGGCATCTAAAACTCCAAAGCATTATATATAAAACCAACCTAAGATTCTGAGAGTGAAAATTCACAAAGACAAACTGGCTAGTAACCTTTGGCCAAAGAGCAACCCAAGAGTGAGTTTCCTTGCCTCGTACATTATAGATCCAGTTCCAAGAAGCAGGTGGCTCAAAAATACAGTAACAACTCAAAATATTTTTTACCTATTCTCCTTAGTCAAAAGACTAGAAAAAGGCTAACCTAACAAAAACATAAACTTAAAAAAAAAAAAACCAGTCCCCTGATACTAAACACAGCATAAATAACAAGGACTCAGACCAGCAAGACGGCTCATTGGGTAAAGGTACTCACTGTGCAAGCCTGTTGACTTGAGTTTGACCACCCTAGACCCACGTAAGGTGTGGAAAGAGAAAACTGACTCCACAAGGTTCCTCTGACCTCCACATGAGTGATCGTGTACACACACACACACACACACACACACACACACACACACACCAACAAAAGCAACAACAATAAACAAACTAGGGCTCACTTGCACAAGATAGTAAAAGCCAATGAGAGAGTCTAGACTCCCATGGTTACCACGCTGTAACACCCAGATCATCTGAAGAGAGATCAACAGCAACAGGAACTGCAGTGTCTCTTCTTCAAGACAGGAGCAGTAGTCCCCATGTGAGGAACCTGAACTTCTACCCCTCCTTGTCCAACTTGACCTACTGGACCTACAGTAGTCAAGTCCCTTCCCTCCTGGGGTAGTAGCAGAGGAAGTTTAGTGGAAAATGGAACATCTGATGAGGACAAAGGGGAACCTGAACTCTTAACCCCAGATAAGAGTAATGAAGCAATTGTGGTGCCTCCTACTGGCATGCTGTCACAGGAAACCAGCTAAAACATGGCTTAAATAACCCAAACCTTTTTCTGTAATACCCTAAATATCCAAATCAATTGAGTATCACCCAAACCAAAAACTAGAAAAAAAAATATCAAACTGAATGGACAAAGACAATCAAGATGACAAACTTTAGA